CCGCTCTCCCCGCCGCTCTCCCCGCCCGGCGGGGGTGGCGCGGGCTGATGACGCCATCTTGGGCAGCCCCAGCATGGCCGGGCGGTGAGGGGCCCGGAGGCGCTGCCCGGGAGTCCGCGGGGTGTTCGCCTCTTCCCGGGGCTGCCGCGGGCGCTGAGGGCTTCCCCAGCCTACCCGCCCCGGGACGTCTCCTCTCCCGCCTCTACCCGCCTGCGCCGGGCCCTTACCCAGCGCGCTGCCGTCCCCGGGGCAGCGGTGCTGGCCGGGGCTGTGCCCGCTGTGAGGGAGCCGCCGGCGGCGCAGCGCCCTGCGGCACCTCAGCTGCGGGGCCAGACCCGGCCCAGGAGCTGCGCTGGGCCGTGCGGCGTGTGGGGCGTGTGTCCCGCAGCTCCAGTGCCTCAGCAGCCAGCACAGGACCGGCCGTGGCATCTGAAGGGAATGGGTCATCACAGCAGTTATCAAGTGCTGCTACGCTGCGGGTTAAGAAATCTAAAGTGTGACCCCAAACACTGAGTGAGAGGCCTTTTTGAAATGCTTCTGTTGGGAAAAAAAACATCAGGCAGGAGATGGCAGGGGCTTAATTTGGTATAACTGTCAGTTTACCTTGGGCACCAACCTAGGAAAATGGCCAGTAATAAAAGAATGGATGGCAAATGGCCCTCTTGGTTTGTCCCTCAGGTATTGCCCCTGAGGCTTGCTCATGGGAGAACAGCACTGAGCATCCTGCAGGGGAGGAATTAAAGACCATCCCATATGTCAGCACAGCCTGCCCTCGGCCCAGCCTCATCCTGGCTGTCTGCAGACAGGTCGGGATAGCACCTGGAACAGCCCTTGCCACAGCAGGGGCAGGTCCTGGCAGAACAACTGCTCTGCTATTGGCTCTATTCCCACCATTCCCTATGCTATTCAAAGGCAGACCCTCAGTGAAGATTTTTTTTGTTTGATTTTTTGGTTTTTTTGCTCCCCTCTGGGAAAAACTCAAGTTTATCCATGGATTTTGATTGCTATGTAAATCTGATACAAAGCAGAAGTGACTATATGGAGACAATCTCTGCCTTTCACACACCTGTCCTGTCCATGGCTTTTGCAACATTATGGTAGTAAATCCTTTATGATAATAAATCTTTTACCACTGCCACATTTATATCCTAAGATCTTCTAGAAGTCCAGGGCTTGACAGAAAACATTCTTGTTATAGTGAAACATTTGCAGAAGCTTGTCCTTGCAGACTCTGTTGTTCTGAAACTTGCATTTTCCTTCTCAGAACGGTCCCCAGAAGTCTGTCCTCTGAATCATATTTGCATCTACACACCTCTGAGAACCTGGGCAAAACCCCCTCCATCAGCCAGGCAGGTTGGACAGACTTGCTTCTTCCTGCTGGATTTTACAACTGCAAACAAGTCTTCAAAACAAAACAAAACAAAAAACTCACCAGCAACACCAGCAGCCTTATTCTGAGCATGTGGGATGCTTCCCTGGAAGCCTGTTCATTTCCTGGAGTGAAACTCAGACACACCAGTTCACTACTGCCCCGAAGTGTGTGGAAACTTTTTTTTTCCTTCTCCCTCCTTTTCTTTTCCCTCCTTCCTTGTGTTGATTTGTGGGACCAGAATGACTTTGATTTCAGCAAGTTTGCTGTTTATTCACGTCACAAGTTTGACAGCTTTACACCAAATCAGATTGCTGGGTTTCAGGAGAGCTCTGAGGCGTCACTGGGAGCTCCTTTAGATTAAACTCGCCTCCCCGGTCTCCCCCCTCTCCCCCTCCTTCGGAGCCATTTAAACCTCTCTGGGGCTTTAACAGAAACGTGCTCCCAAGACCTGCATTTCATTCTGCCACTAATATGGTAAGTGCTCTTTGCATTTCTCTCGACCTCGAGGCAGAAGAGGAGAAGTTCCCTTGAGGGAGTGCAATAGATTTTGTGCCCTCTTAAGATGGGAGAGGGCTCTTCTCTACCTGCCAGTGCAGTCTCTGCTGCTGTGCCTTTCCATGGGTGGGCAGACTCCCTGACTGAGACTCCCAAGTTCTGCCGTTGCCTTCCTTGCAGAGATTTAGAGTTTCTGCAGATGAGGCTTATTTGGAGGAGGGAGAAAGGGTGAATCCAGAGACAAGCCCAGGCTTTGCGGTCTGGAACTCCTGCAGAACTGCAGGGGCAGAAGAGAGTGCGAGCAGCCAGGAGGTGACTCTGCTGGCTCTATGCTGCTGCTTTGGAGCTGAGTCGAATACCCATGGTGGCAGGAACGGTCTGGCCAAGGACAGCACTGGACCTCCCTTCACCCTAAACCCACTCAGCACCGTAGCATTTCCCAGGGGTTTGCAGGAAACTGAGCCGCCTCCCTGGCACTGCTGTGCCCGGAGTCCCAATGCTGCGGGGGCTGGCGGGGCGGCACTGCCCGCGCTCGGCGCACGGAGCGGTGCCACCGGGAAAACGGGGAGCGGGCACCGGCTCAGGGCTGGGCGCTGCCTCGGGCGGTGGGGCTGCCCCGCGACAGCACCTGAGCACACACAACCCGGCCGGGACAGCCGCGGGGAGAGCGCTGCCCCGCCGGGGCGCTTCTGCCGGGGCGCGGCGGGGCCGGGCTGGCACCGCTTCTCCGAGCGCCGAGCGCCCCATCGCCTCGGCCCCTTTCCCTCCGCAGAGCGCCGGCCGGCCGTGCCCGCAGCCGGACTTCGCCGGGGGCTCGGGCTGCGCCTGCCCCTGGTCCGCCCCCGCCGGGGTTTCCAAGGAGACCTGGGCCGCCGTCTGCGCCGCGGAGCCGCCGCACAGCCAGGGCGGGCGGGACGCTCGGCCGCCGGGTGAGTGCGCCGGGCGGCCGCCGGGTGGGCGAGTGCGCTCGGCGGCCGCCGGGGCGGCGGGAGCGGCCGCGCTCCCCGGCCGCGCTGGGAGCGGTCCGGGGCCGCGCTAACCCCGCTCTCGTCCGCAGGCCGGTTCTGCAGCCCGCAGCTCGGTGCCCAGGACGTGGCGTGGCAGGGAGACCAGCTGTCCTCCCAGCTCTACAGAAACAAGCAGGTAAGGGCTCTGCGCCCCGCAGCACCTACGGATTCACTCCACGGAGCTCCTGAACTTTGTGTCACGTATTTCACCTTCTGGGTTGGCTTATGGCATGTCTCCCTGTCACTGGCAACGATGTCGGAAAGAGACACAAAACTGCTGCTCCTTGCTTGATGTATTTGTCTCCCCCATGTTGTCCTGTGAAGTTGGACCAACTGTGGTGGGATTCCCTATCCATTCCTCCCCTCTTATATCATGTTGCATCAGCAGTCTTGGCACTAAAGAAAACTAGGGGCATGAACGCTGGGGACCTCAGGCTCGGATGATGCTGTTGGCTAAAAATAGGTAGTGTGTGTCCTGATTCCACCAGGTTTAACTTCATGCGAAATGATTCCACCAGAATTGCCTAATTACATAGAGGATCAACTGTTTTGACCAACAGGTTTTCCTTGTTACTTCATTTTCTCTTATATTTCTTTTTTTTTTTTTTTTTTTTTTTTTTTTTTTTTTTTTTTTTTTTTTTTTTTTTTTTTTTTTTTTTTTTTTGTAAATCCCAACGAGACAGGAGAAACTCTGAACTGTCTTCGATGAAGAAACTCCAGTTTGATGATTCTGATCAAGTACTTGGAATGATGTTTTGACACAGTCAAGTCACTGAAAATTCATATATTATCTTAAAGGTCCCTGGAATCAAACCATAGTTCCAGATGTCAGTGTACTTCTTTCTCTGGCTCTGCCTCAATCATTTAAGTCTGTTTTTGACCGAGTCTATGCTCAGAAGATGCCTGTAGTCCTTGGCAGAAGATTCTTTGTCCTCCTAAAGAAGTCCCCAGAGCTGTGATCAGGAGCCAGAAATCTATCTATTAACACTTAGATTTTCCATAGAAAATGGCAGATACTTCCCATTTTAGGTGTCTGCCATTCCTGTTCAGCTTTTGAGACCAGGGATTCTCTCAACTGTGTATATGTACCAGGGCTGGCACATAGGGTCCAGAATTGAAGAGATCACTGAGTGCTGCTTTATCATTAAGAATGGCAACTGCATCTTCCTTCTTTACTCTATCCCCATAAATTGTTAGTTTGCAACTTCTCCTTTTTTTTTTTTTTATCAGCCAGCTATAAATGGGAAGGAGGGGTGCAAAGGGATGTTTACTGCAGCTCAAGAGGAGATGCTGAAGCTGCTGTCATGCCTGTGACCATATCTGGCTGCTCACAGGGCTACTTGTAATTAATTTCTATTGTTATTCTGTGGTTGCAGGTTTTTTTTTCAGAGAAATCTTTTCAAACACTCACTTTAAGATTAAAGGAAGTCAAAAGTGAAAACTGAACAGTCATGCCACTTAGATTTATAGAGACAAGAGGCTGGAGGGGGTGGGTTGAGCTCACAAAGCAAACACCCAGACCATCAAATCCAAGCAGCTTGTACCAGAGGGCAATTGCTATTAAGTTACAGAGTCAACATCTATTCATCAATATCTCTATTCCACAGCTTCAAGATACTTTGCTTCAGAAGGAAGAGGAACTTGCTAGGTTACATGAAGAAAATAATAACCTCCGACAATACCTGAATTCTGCCCTGATTAAGTGTTTAGAAGAAAAAGCCAAGGTATTGTGTTCAAACCTGTCATACAAATGTGTGCAGAAGGAACAGGTTGATTAGGTACATGCCAGTAAAATATATGGAAAAATCTAAGAGTGTAGACAACCTGCAGTGGAACTCACATTTAAATTCACAAAGGTTGCAGTTTGCTCCAGGAATGATATCCTGGCAGGTTCTGACTCTGAAGACAGTGTAGAACTTGAGATAATTAAGTTTAATTTATTAATTAGCTATAAGTAAGATAAGATTATATAGTCAAGGTAAAATTATTCTCTCCAATGCTTTTTTTTTTTTCAGTAAAAAGTTCAAATTTGAATATATGTATTTTGAATGTCTCTCTTTTGTAAATTATCCCTTTGATAAGGATTTTTTTTTTCCAGCTAATTAATTAAAAAGTTGCATGGGTTTTTTTTTAATGGGGAAATACAAAATGAAACATTTCAGGTTGGATGAAACATTCTGTTAAACTAAGTATAAAGGGTCGTTTTTTGAACATTTGGATTCTTTGTCTCTCATGTAAACAAAAATAAAGAAAATAATCCTTTCTTGTCAGCTTAAAGACATTTTTTGCTATTCCAGCCTTGCCTGTGAAACTGAACTATTGATTATTTGCTCAACTCTGTAGATTGGTCATGAAGTAAAAAAGACTGTAGGACATAGGAGACTTTCCTTTTCCATCCTGTTGATGAGTTGATAGCATGGCATCTTCCTTCCCATGGCCAGACCTGGCTCCTGGCAGTAGGAAAGATCTTCTTCACTGGGCACAGCAGGGAGACATGGCCACGCCCTGTGTCATGTGGAGAAGGGTCCAGTGTGGAACTGTCATGGGAGGTGTCTGAGCAGTAATCCCCAGATGGTGAGGAGCTTCCTTGTTCATTTTGCCTTCATTTGACCATACCTGGATGCCTGAAGGGCCTTTGTCCTGGGATAATGACAACTGAGGTGAATTGATGAGTGCAGTGCCACTCAGGCTGATGCTCTGGGCACTGCCTTGTCAGGATCTCCCTTTCCCAGCTCGAGTTACCTTTGCATACTACCTCTTTGTCAGGCTGCCACTTTGCCCCCCGTTCCCTGCTCACCTGCAGAGCACTTCTGGCACAGAGACAGGTGGGAGCTCAGGGCTAGGAATGCCATCAAAGCACAAGTCTTATTGACATGGTCACACTCTTCTCTTTCAGGAACAGGGTTGTTACAGACACTGTAAAGATAGAAAATAGTTGGTCATACCCATATGTTTAAGCAGAGGGTTAAAAAAATGTCTTTGTAAGGACAGGAGTAATCAAGTAGTAACCATCTTGTGCATCTGAGGCCAGAAACATGTTGCTCTCAGGTATCTAGAAACTCAAATTTTAATCTTCTGTTTCCACCTTGTTGTTTTGGTTTTTTTAATAGAAACTACTGTCTGACCATGGGCAAAAAACCTCTTCTATCCTCAAAAGTACCAAGAGGAGATTAAAAGAGGACCACTGCTTTGTTCCTCAAGAAACTCCTCATGCTTCCAAAGCTAGAAGGAACCTCTTCAATGAATTCACTGCCTGTGAAGAGCAAGCCAGCCCTGCTGTGGACAGTTGGGTCTTGCAGACCTTGGGATTAAAAGATGTGAACACCATTGATGAAGCTTCAGCTAACTACAGTGCCCTGTCCCCAGACCTTGGAAAAGACTCATACTGCCTGAGCCCTGGGGGAGCAGCAGACTATGAGCAGAGGGAAGGAGCAGCAGCAGTGTTTGGCTGCAGCCATGTTCCTCCAGGCAGCAGCAGCACCCATCCATGCAGCGAGGATTCTCCTTTCCTTCCTCAATTTTCTTCAGCACCATGCATCTCCTCACCAGTGCCAAGTGTTTCCTCTCTCCCAGCCTATGGGTTGCCTTATTTGACTGGTGGTTTGTCACCCAACAAAACAGAAGTGGCCTTCACAACGTCCCTGAGTCCCCACCGCAATGTGAGAACGCACAGCTTCCACCAAGGACAGGCCTTTGTGCGCAGGGACGACGATGGGGGGTGGAGATTCACCTGGGTGCCCAAGCAGGCTGAATGATGCACCTGATCAAGGTCAGACATAGAGGATGTAGGAGTCACACTTCACCTTGTGCATCAGACAGGTGCAGGCAGGAAAAAGGACCCCTTTTGGGCTTCTTTAAATTCTACTTTGTCACTAACCCACTCCTCATTCCCTCACAGATTTTCACAGATGTGACTCCAGATTGCACTTGGACAATTTTCTGCCCCAGACGTTCAAACTGGATTCCTTTCTCTTGTGGCTATGTTGAGATACTTGCTTTTACTTGTTTCCTGAGGTTTTGTCATCAGCTCTTCCTTGTTACTGGTAATTTCCAGGCTGGAGGGCTTTCACCTTTAATGGTAACCTTCACATGCACCAAACTGAAAAGCACTTTGGGAATACACCTCTCTCACTTTGGAAATAGCACCTGTCTCACAGATATCCACAGATAACAAAGGAGGCATATGTTGGAGGCTGAGGATCAGCAGTTTCTCAGTGATTTATGTCTCTCTTGACTACACAGATAGCCTTGGATTTAACAAGCATCCATGGTTGCCTTAGGTGCTGCACAAAACTGACCTACCTGCAGTTCCATGGTGCTGTCACATTCTTTGATGATGCCTCAAAATAAAAACAGGATTTACTTCTAATGCTCAGAGGCTGCTTAGTTACAAGAGATTCAGCAAGGGCAGGGGATCTTCCTAAGGTGTGATTAAGAGACTGATGTGTTTACTAATACATTTTAAAGGTATTTTGTCTATGAACAAAGGGAGTTTACATGTGGGGAGGCAGTAGCACTTAGTGGTTGGAGCGGGTCTTTGGGAACCCCACCTTCAATGCCAGCTTCTGCCTCTCTGTCTGCCAGACTGGGATGGGCTGAGGGTAAGACCAGCATTACTTTGAGAATGCTTTAAAACTCTCTGAGAAGGTGCTCTAGCACTGCACAGGACTTACCTTTCACTAGTGCTACTAAATTACATTAATGATTTGATGATATGAAGTCAATGGACATGAAGTAAGTTCACCAGTACTGTTTTTTGTTACTTTTGTCTTCAGTTCTACAGTAGTTTGATGCCTGAGTATTCAAAATAGATTGGCTTGGTTATTCTTGCTTTCAGAATGGGGCCACTGACATTGAGGAAGGACTGAAGTAAAAATAACCAAAATCAAGATTTTTTTTTTTTAAGTGGCTTATTTTCATATAGAAAACAGAATATTCCTCTGTTTTTAGAGGATAAAAATATCTTCTAATAGCCTGTTGTGCCTTAGAATTGCAACATTTGAGACATTCCATCAGGAGCAGTAATGATTTCCTAAGGGACTTCTAAATAAACAAACTGTATTTCTGGGTAGTTACTTTAAAATGACTGTGGCAGACTTCCAGAATAGGCAATATGAAAGCACTGATTGTTGGCATTATTTCACTGGATTAAAAAGTTAACTAAACTAAAAAAACACCACAACCCACACAACAACCACTGCAGAAGAAAACCATAACAAAAACCTCAGTAAAACCCAAAAAAACCAAACCAAACAATGCTCATGGAATAAATACAGGTATTTGTTTGGGGAGTTTGCTGTAGTCCATAAAATTGTGGTAGATTGATGGAGACTGATCAGATAAGACCACTGTTTCTGTAGCACTTTTCTGCTTTTCAGTGAAAGCTGAAAAAAAACCCCTGTCCTACAAACAACTCATTTTTTTCTCAATGCATTTCTTTCCTATTATTCTCCCCTTGCCCCACTATATAAGAGAGCATTGAAGAAAATACTCCTATCACTGGAGTTTTGTTGATGAGTGTGGTACTGTAGAAAATGCCTGAACTAAACCCGAGTATGTGATGGGAACCCCTGGTAGAGGTGATGTGGAGGATGCACACAAACTGGGAATAAGGCAGTGTGGCCAGAGGACTGCACCCAACACAGCTGTAGATGCCACATCTCTCAAAGCAGCTGTAAAACAGAAGTAGAGAAACATCTCTGTTTTCTAACACTAGAGAATGCTATTAGATGTGAATTTTAATGCTATGGAGTCAGCAGCACTAATAAGTGCTTTTATACTACCAATAAATCTTAAATCAGGGCTTTTTTCTCTGAAGTGGGAGAAAAGCTTTCCATTTGCCTGACATTTCCTTTCCACATTTTTATATCACTGCATGTGAGAACTTCTCCTGCAGAGAGCCAGAACAAAAGTGTCAGCTCTTTGGTACAATCCTGAAGTAGGGTTCCAGTAGGAACAAACTGATGCTTGAGCCTTTGCCAGCCTTTTGTACAGGGGTGACTGACCCTTTGTCTCATAGTAAATAAATTATGAACATGAGAAAATTATTTACCTGAATGAATCCTCATCTTTTCCAGTGGGTTCCTGAATTTTACTCTATATGAAGGTCCTGAGTCCTGTTGGAGAAATTGTTTTCTGAGCCTTACTTTACTGGAGTTCATTTGGGTAGAGTATCCCATGTGCTGCTCCTGTCAGCTGATGGGTGCTCCTGATCTGCACATGCAGACTTAAAATTCTGGTGTAGGCAACTGCTTAAGCAAAGTTCTCAGTGGTAATGATGCTGCTGGGTACTGGAGCAGAGGGAGCACACTGGAAAGGAAACAGAAAAATCTCCAAAGCATTTTAACAAATAAGAGTGGTTTGTTTTACCCTGACACCACCATTTGAAGCAGTATTTCCTGAGTTTCATGAAGAATAGAAACAGGATTTGTCTAACACCAACCCACAGCAAGCGAATCAGCACAGTGACCAAACCATTCCTTTAGATAAATATTGCTCCTATTGCCAAAAGAAAGCCATTGCTCAGCATACCTCACTCTAAACTGCCTGCTTCCTCTGAAAATCCTGCCTTCCTACAGGTGTAATAGATGTGGAAAATGAGTAAGGGGCTGAAGACATCTCATGGCAGATTGCTGTCACATGGAGAGATGTGAGCACAGTTACTGACTGGGCTGGTGCTGGGTGGATATGCTGATTGAACCTGCTGTGTCCCCATGATTTCCTTGGGCCTGGAAGCACTGAAGCTCCATTAACATGGTGCAGTACTTTGGCCTGCAAAGATGTGGGGGGAAAGTTCTTGCTGGTACAAAGCCTAGATGGAGCTGTGAAATGGGTGTTCAGTTTTGTTTTGTGCTCCATCCTCCCTGTTTGGCCTTTTGTATCCATTCCCAGTGGAGGAAAGAGATTCAAAGCCACTCTGCTCTCATGGAATGTCTGAGGTAAAGCCCAGGGAAGCCCGTGACACATTCCTATGCCCCAGAGGTAGCTAGAGGTCAATGGCAATGAAAGGAAAAAGTGGAAACAAAACCCAGTTCTTCACACTGCCGTCACAACTATGTAGCCAGGAGATAGCAGAGACAAGTTTCAGCTTGGTACTGTATTTCTAATTTCAAAAAACAGGCAGCTGGAAACAAGGGCCAGAAGGAAAAAGATCTATGTTCTGATGCTGCCTCTGGTATTACAGCTGGTTTCTATGCTTTGGATTCTATGGAATTCAGCAGTGGACCAGTTCATAGCTATTTAACAAGAAAACACAACTCTTGCTGCTGCAAACTCCAAGAAGTTCCCTCTTGCCAAGGATCAGTGCCAGGCCCATAAAACTCCAGGATGGGGAACTATGACTTGAACAGCCATAGGGCCCTGGGTGGTTCTTTGAGCAGCAGTGAACTTCCTTGTCTGTAAATATTCATCTTGTATTAACATAATTTGTTTTATTTTTTTATTTGAAGTTTGTTTTATTATGTGAATGTAATGTGCAGCTGCATTGTTTAAAATAATCCATGCTTCTAGAAAGGTACTCTAACAGAAATGGAAGTTAATTTAACACTTAATATGGTGATGTTCCTGATTTTTGTGATTTAAAAAGGCCATGATTATATGTAAATGTCAATTTTACTATTGTCACTAAGTTATGTCTAATAAAACTTAACAGCCAATTGATGCAATTCTTTCTGCCCACTTTAGCACCTATTAAACCATGGGACTGTTATTCACACAGCACAGCATCCACCTGGCACCTACATATCTCCCCAGAGGACTGAAAGGGACCTTCATTTCCTGCAGTCACAAGTGTCCACACAAGGACATGCCATGATTTTATGATACCAGATCCATCTATACTGACAGCCACAGGTGTGCTCATTTCAGCCTGGGCTTGCACAGCCTATTGCAGTGATCCATTATTGCATTGACTCTGGAATATATGCCATGCTACCAAACAGCAAGGACAGAGGGAAATATTGTGCTTTTAGTCTCTTGTTTTTGCAGCATCTGCCTCTCTCACTTATACCTTCCTAGGCAGCTGAGCATCCTGATCCAGGACAACCTGATTCATTATAGTACTTTCATTACTCCTGATTTTGACTCTGAAATGATGAATTGTGAAATGGCACTGAGGTGTCACATAAAGAGACTGGAGGTGAGACAGAAAAGCCTGATTTAAAAATGCAAACCTTTACTTAGATCCACTTGACAACAAAGAAAAGCTGTGTTAGTTATTAACTTGCCCTTCTGTACATGAGCAGGTTTATTGGTAACCATGCAGCAGCTGGGACCAGAGAGATTTTTCATTGGAATGGAGATGGCTTATTGCTGATGAAAAGACACAAAGTGAGCCTTCCTTAATCTCTTTGCCCTCATCTTGAAGCCATACTACGTCTATGAGATGATTCATAAACACTCTGGCCTGTTGCCAGATAGCTGACACCCTGTCGTAAAGAGAGAGCAGTCTATAAATAATTCGAGGAATTAGCTGTGATTCACCTAAAATGCCATCTCTCCAGTCATTCCTCTGTTTCATTAGTTGTGCATCACTGCATTATTTAAGGCTGAATGCTTAAACATAGTGTAGCCCAAGGAAATCAGTATTATAATAGTGCATAAGGAACAGATTATAAAAATCGGTATGAGTATGAAGAGCTTGGAGGTCTGAGGTCCCCATTTTCCCTAATTTATTTTTTAAAATCCCACTTGAAGTGTGGCTTTAGTACTAGTATGGTTAGCTGAAGCTCCCAACAACTTCTGCCACCAAAGCTGT